GTCCAAAGACGGGGGCGGGGGCAGAACGGGGTGCGGTATCAAGAAGGGGCCCGGGGGGGAAACCCGGTTCATGGGAATAGGGCTGGGCCCTGGTTAGGTTTTCTTCTTTCCTTTTTTTTTTTTAAGAAAAAAAAAAAAAAAAAAGAAAAAAAAAATAAAAATAAAAAAAAAAAAAAAAAAAAAAGGGGGGCCCCGGGGGGGATAGTTCCTAGGAGGAATGAAAGGGGCCCGAAATCTCCCTCCGCGCCCAAAGAAAAGGGCTCGACACCCAGTAGCGCAGATGCGCATGGAACCCGTGCCATTAAACCCCACCCTTTATGCCAGTAAACCGCAAAATTGGGGTAGCCCAAATCACATCGCCGAGCTACCTCGGTGGACAAAAAAAGAGGGCGGGCCCGGGAAACCGCCACAAAGCATTAAACCCCCTTCAGCCAACCCCCCCCGGGGGTCCGAAAGGTGGCTTCCAGGGATACACCCCCTCGGCCCCAAAAAACACCCAAAACTACTCCGGGGTACCGGGGGAGGGATCGGGACATCCCCAGGCAATCCAGATTCCCGGCAAACTACGCCACCGGGGCCCAAAAAACCTCAACGGGAAAGGGATGGACCCCTGTCCTTTCCCAACCCAGGAAATAGCGCGCCTGTTTGGGGGAAATCACGAAGGCTAAAAAGAGGAAGGGCAAAAAAGGGGGGGGTGGGAGGGGGGGAGGGGAAGGAAAAAGGGGGGATGGGGAGGATGGGTAGGGGGGGGGAGAATGGGGGGGGGTAAATTTGGTTCGGTCCCGAGGGAAAAAGGCCCCACAAGGGGGTTAAATTTCCCCAGACCAAAGCCCCCTTCTTTCCCCCCGCCAAGGAGCCCCCCTTTAAGAGGTTAAAACCGCCAAAAAAAACAGTGGACCCCCCGGGGGAACGGAAATTTTTTTCCCGAAGTATGTTCAGGGGCCAGTACTGACCCAATTTGTTCCCTTTTTTGGGAAAATTGTGAAGTAGATTTGTCCCCTTTTAGGGCCCCCAAACATACACGTACAAACGCACTTTCATAAAAAAAAATTACATAATTGGTCGCATTGGGAGGTGGGTGTTATGCGGGGGGCCCCCTGTAAAATTACAAAAAAACTTACAAAAAACGCTTACATATTTGTTCGAGTGGGACTGTACCAAACTCGGCCTACCAGTGCTTTTTTGCTTTGGAAGCATGGGAAAAAGGGTTTTATTTGTGAAGGATCGCCCCGTATGGGGCCCAATTTTGGCCTACCCCAGTGGGTTTTCCTTTCTTCTTATTTTACCTTTTCATGTTTTTTTTTTTGGGCCCTTTCGCTTCTGCGCACTTTAAAAAAATTTAGTGAAATTTTGTTTTTTTGCTTTTTTATGCACTGTTTTTTTTGAGGTTTTTAGCCCGGGATTAGCAAGGGGATCAGCCAGGTATTAGCCCCGGTATTTGCCGGTATTTTTGGGGGTTTTGTCTTACCAGAAGTAACATTTTATCCCGTTATCAATACTGAAAAATCTTTTTTTTTTAAATTTAAGGGTATTCCTTTTCTCAAGGGACATTTGGGCGTAAAAATATTTAGTATGTTAAGTTAGTAAAATAAATCATTTAAAAAAAAAAAAATTTGCTAGCAAGTTAGTTAACAAGTTTTGTAGCTTGCAAAACTAGCAGCAAAACAAGTTTTTAGCTTCAAAATTGTTTTGCATGTTTGTTACAAAAAACACATAAAGTACCATACATAATAACACCAGCTCCCCTGTAAAAAAAAAATTCCCTTTAATCAAGACACTTTTAAAACCAACCCCCGGCACCCTATAATAATAATAAAAAAAATAATAATAATAATAATAATAATATATAGTTTTGGAGTGGTTGGTGCAATTATTTAATAAATGTATGGAAGAGGGTAAGGTACCTAGGGATTGGCAGAGAGCATGCATAGTTCCTTTGTATAAAGGCAAAGGGGATAAAAGAGAGTGTAAAAATTATAGGGGGATAAGTCTGTTGAGTATACCTGGTAAAGTGTATGGTAGTTATAATTGAAAGAATTAAGAGTAAGACAGAAAATAGGATAGCAGATGAACAAGGAGGCTTTAGGAAAGGTAGGGGGTGTGTGGACCAGGTGTTTACAGTGAAACATATAAGTGAACAGTATTTAGATAAGGCTAAAGAGGTCTTTGTGGCATTTATGGATTTGGAAAAGGCGTATGACAGGGTGGATAGGGGGGCAATGTGGCAGATATTGCAGGTAGGAGGTAGGAGGTAGGTTACTGAAAGCAGTGAAGAGTTTTTATGAGGATAGTGAGGCTCAAGTTAGAGTATGTAGGAAAGAGGGAAATTTTTTCCCAGTAAAAGTAGGCCTTAGACAAGGATGTGTGATGTCACCGTGGTTGTTTAATATATTTATAGATGGGGTTGTAAGAGAAGTAAATGCGAGGGTCTTGGCAAGAGGCGTGGAGTTAAAAGATAAAGAATCACACAAAGTGGGAGTTGTCACAGCTGCTCTTTGCTGATGACACTGTGCTCTTGGGAGATTCTGAAGAGAAGTTGCAGAGATTGGTGGATGAATTTGGTAGGGTGTGCAAAAGAAGAAAATTAAAAGTGAATACAGGGAAGAGTAAGGTTATGAGGATAACAAAAATATTAGGTGATGAAAGATGGATATCAGATTGGAGGGAGAGAGTTGGAGGAGGTGAATGTATTCAGATATTTGGGAGTGGACGTGTCAGCGGATGGGTCTATGAAGGATGAGGTGAATCATAGAATTGATGAGGGGAAAAGGGTGAGTGGTGCACTTAGGAGTCTGTGGAGACAAAGAACTTTGTCCTTGGAGGCAAAGAGGGGAATGTATGAGAGTATAGTTTTACCAACACTCTTATATGGGTGTGAAGCATGGGTGATGAATGTTGCAGCGAGGAGAAGGCTGGAGGCAGTGGAGATGTCATGTCTGAGGGCAATGTGTGGTGTGAATATAATGCAGAGAATTCGTAGTTTGGAAGTTAGGAGGAGGTGCGGGATTACCAAAACTGTTGTCCAGAGGGCTGAGGAAGGGTTGTTGAGGTGGTTCGGACATGTAGAGAGAATGGAGCGAAACAGAATGACTTCAAGAGTGTATCAGTCTGCAGTGTAAGGAAGGCGGGATAGGGGTCGGCCTAGGAAAGGTTGGAGGGAGGGGGAAAGGAGGTTTTGTGTGCGAGGGGCTTGGACTTCCAGCAGGCGTGCGTGAGCGTGTTTGATAGGAGTGAATGGAGACGAATGGTTTTTAATACTTGACGTGCTGTTGGAGTGTGAGCAAAGTAACATTTATGAAGGGGTTCAGGGAAACCGGCAGGCCGGACTTGAGTCCTGGAGATGGGAAGTACAGTGCCTGCACTCTGAAGGAGGGGTGTTAATGTTGCAGTTTAAAAACTGTAGTGTAAAGCACCCTTCTGGCAAGACAGTGATGGAGTGAATGATGGTGAAAGTTTTTCTTTTTCGGGCCACCCTGCCTTGGTGGGAATCGGCCAGTGTGATAATAATAATAAAAAAAAAAAAAAAAAAAAAAATTATTTGTACCAGTACAGTGGACCCCCACCTTACGAACACATCGCGTTACATTAAATCCGCCATACGAAGCATATGAACGCAAAAATTTTGCCTCGCCTCACGATAAAAAACTCGCCTTATGTGATTCGTCCGAGACACATCCCACGTGTGGCCTCAGCGCCAGTGTTTACAAGCCAGCCAATGCGGTCGCATCTATGCATACATTTGGTATATTTCACATAATCCCAGTGTTTTTAGTGCTTGTAACTACAAAATAAGTCACCATGGGCCCCAAGAAAGCTTCTAGTGCCATCCCTGTGGTAAAAAGGGCGAGAATTAGTATGGAATTGAAAAAAAGATTAAGGAAATGTGTGCAAAGTGGGTTGAACTGCAAACCTTTATGGATGAAAATCACCCTGACACAGCTACTGCAAGCCGTGCTGGTGACTATTACAATGACAATGTTGTGGCCCATTGTAGGAAAGTCTTAAAGGAACGGGAGGTACAGAGCTCTATGGACAGATTTGTTGTGCGACAGAGCTCCAGTGACTCTCAAGCTGGTCATAGTGGCATTAAAAGAAGAAGGGAAGTAACCCCGGAAAAGGACTTGCTACCTGGTCACAGACCGGGCCGCGGGGGCATTGACCCCCGGAACTCTCTCCAGGTAAATCTCAAGTCCTTATGGAAGAGGATTCCCCTTCTAAACAACAACTTCGACACTCTCCCCTCGTCCCATCCCATCAATCATCACCAGATCTTCAATAAAGGTAAGTGTCATGTACAGTGGACCTCCGGTTTACGATATTATTTCATTCCAGAAGTATGTTCAGGTGCCAGTACTGAACGAATTTGTTCCCATAAGGAATATTGTGAATTAGATTAGTCCATTTCAGACCCCCAAACATACACGTACAAACGCACTTACATAAATACACTTACATAATTAGTCGCATTGGGAGCTGATCGTAAAGCGGGGGTCCACTGTATTCTAGTCTTAGTAGAGTAGTAATTGTGCATGTCTTCTTCAGTTTGTGTGTATTAAAATTAATATTTCATGTGGTAAAAAAAATTTTTTCATACTTTGGGGTGTCAGGAACGGATTAATTTGATTTCCCTTATTTCTTATGGGGAAAATTAATTCGGCTAACGATAATTCGATAATTTCGGCTTACAATGAGCTCTCAGGAACGGATTAATATCGTAAGGCGGGGGTCCACTGTACTACTATATAGAAAGTCCCTTGTTAAACAGAACATTTCCCGCAAATTAGGTCAATTTTGTCCCAGGATGCGACCCACACCAGTCCACTAACACCCAGGTACCTATTTTACTGCTAGGTGAACAGTGACAGCAGGTGTCTTAAGGACACAGGTCCTAGTGTTTCCAGCTGTACCGGGGATCAAACCACAGATCTCAGTGTGTGAGCTGAGTGCGCTACCAATCGAAGAGAAAGTTCGAGAGCACGCAAGACAACCGCACCACGTACTTGACGGCCAGTAAGTTGGAGCAGCGGTTGAGGGCGGCCCACTCCATCTCCATCACATCCTGCACCAGCTGAGTGGGGTCGTCTTCGCCCAGGGGCTGACCGGACGAGCGAAAGCGCTGCACCACCTGCGACCGGTTCCACCGCAGCCGTTCCATGCAACGCTGAAATAACAGGACCAGCTTAGGCCCAAAACAAAAACTTCGACGATTTTGGGAACGAGGCCGTTGGTGGCCCGTGTTACACAGTCTTTATCCTAGGATAAGTCTACACTTTAGTTATTCTACGATAATTTGTCCGTATTTAGTCAGTTTATTCTTTATCCTAGGATAAGAAACTTTAGTAATAATAATAATAATAATAATAATTATAATAAATAATTATAATATAGTAATAGTAATAATAATTATAATAATATAATAATTAAATAATAATTACAATAATAACAATAATAATTACAATAATAATAATTACAATAATAATTACAATAATAATAATAATTACAATAATAATAACAATAATAATAATAATTACAATAATAATAATAATTACAATAATAATAACAATAATAATTACAATAATAATAATTACAATAATAATTACAATAATAATAATTACAATAATAATAATAATTACAATAATAATTACAATAATAATAATTACAATAATAATAAAATTACAATAATAATTAAATAATTACAATAATAATAATAATAATTACAATAATAATAATAATAATTACAATAATTACAATAATAATAATAATAATTACAATAATAATAATTACAATAATAATAATTACAATAATAATAATTACAATAATAATAATAACAATAATAATTACAATAATAATAATTAAAATTACAATAATAATTACAATAATAATAATAATAATAATAATTACAATAATAATAATTACAATAATAATAATAATTACAATAATAATAATAATAATAATATTACAATAATAGTAATAATAATAATAATAATTACAATAATAATAAATAATAATAATAATAATAATAATAATAATTACAATAATAATAATAACAATTATAATAATAATAATTACAATACTAATAATAATAAATAATAAATTACAATAATAATAATAATTATAATAATAATAATTACAATAATAATAATAATAATTACAATAATAATAATTACAATAATGATAATAATAATTACAATAATAATAATAATAATAATAATAATAATAATAATAATAATAATAATAATAATAATAATAATAATTAAAATAATAATAATAATAATAATTACAATAACAATAATGATAATTACAATAATAATAATAATTACAATAATAATAATAATAATAATAATAATAATAATTACAATAATAATAATAATTACAATAATAATAATAATAATAATAATAATAATAATAAATAATTACAATAATAATAATAATAATAATAATAATAAATAATAATAATAATTACAATAATAATAATAATGATAATAATTACAATAATAATAATAATGATAATTACAATATTAATAATAATAATAATAATAATAATAATAATAATAATAATAATTACAATAATAATAATGATAATAATTACAATATTAATAATAATTACAATAATAATAATAATATTAAGGTCATTTAAATCCCCGGGTGGGAAGCGCTAAACCCTCCGGGGGCTGAGTTAACACCATTAAACTCCCCAGCTCCACTTCCTCGGATCAAAGCCCCAAAAATACATCAAATAAGTGACTTACTTTACGATAAATATCTTTCCAGGGCGGAGTTCGTCCTCTGGGGTTCTTATATAGCTTCCTGTGGGCCACTGTGGCCCCCAGTGGCCCACCCTGGCCACTCTCCATCACCCTAAACCACTTATCTCGCCGTAAACCACCGATAAACCCAATTTAAACCGCTGGTAAAGTCGAAATAATGGTTTTTCTGAGGATGTTTTAAGTGTCAGCTGAATGTTGTTGGTGTCTCCCCACTACCTGTGTCTTATTTAGTTTTATGATCTTGATCCAAGGCCATGGAGGTGGTTATTTCTGTTGTGTGTCTAATTCGTGATACCCCAGCTGTTGCGTAGCCCATACGGGTTTGCCGTCTCCCCATTATTATAATAATAAAAATTTTAACCCCACTACCTGTTCTTTCTCAAAAAAATTCAAATTTGGACGAATTTTACAAAAAAAAAAAAAAAAATAGGAAAATTCCTGACACAATATTTTATTTATGTGTAAATAATAATTTTTTAAAGGAGGAGAGTAATTTTTTTAAATAAAAAATATTTTAAATTTTATATTTTCATTTGGTTACAAGGGTCGATTCACAGCTCCTGCCCCCTTGTCGTACCTCTTCATAAAGCTATATATGGATCCAGTTTCCACTACATTACTCTCCAGACTGTTCCACTTTCTGACAACTCTATGGCTGAAGAAATACTTCCTAACATCCTAACACGGTGTACAGAGTCTTGAACGATTCCTTACTGAGGTATCGGAACTCCGTTCTCAGGTTTGTCAGGCGCCCATATGCTGCAGTAGTTATCTGGTTAATGTGCGCCTCAGGAGATATGTCCTACCTTATCCTTGACTGCTTGTAAGCTTCACATCGTCTGCAAACAGGGACACCTCTGAATTTATCCCTTCTGTCATGTCATTTATATATACAAGAAACAGCACCAGACCTAGGACTGATCCTTGTGGGACCCCACTCGACACACTGGACCTAGGACTGACCCTTGTCGAACCCCACTCGACACACTGGACCTAGGACTGACCCTTGTGGAATCCCACTCGACACACTGGACCTAGGATTGACCCTTGTGGAATCCCACTCGACACACTGGACTTAAGACTGACCCTTGTGGAATCCCACTCGACACACTGGACCTAGGATTGACCCTTGTGGAATCCCACTCGACACACTGGACCTAGGATTGACCCTTGTGGAATCCCACTCGACACACTGGACTTAAGACTGACCCTTGTGGAATCCCACTCGACACACTGGACCTAGGATTGACCCTTGTGGAATCCCACTCGACACACTGGACTTAAGACTGACCCTTGTCGAACCCCACTCGACACACTGGACTTAAGACTGACCCTTGTCGAACCCCACTCGACACACTGGACTTAAGACTGACCCTTGTCGAACCCCACTCGACACACTGGACTTAAGACTGACCCTTGTCGAACCCCACTCGACACACTGGACTTAAGACTGACCCTTGTCGAACCCCACTCGACACACTGGACTTAAGACTGACCCTTGTCGAACCCCACTCGACACACTGGACCTAGGACTGACCCTTGTCGAACCCCACTCGACACACTGGACCTAGGATTGACCCTTGTGGAACCCCACTCGACACACTGGACCTAGAACCGACCCTTGTGGAACCCCACTCGACACACTGGACCTAGAACTGACCCTTGTGGAACCCTGTTCGACATAAGCGCCCACTCTGACACCTCACCACGTACCATCACTCGTTTTTTCCTTCTTGTCAAGTATTCCATAATAAGTACGTTATTCAGGACGTTACCAGGAGGCCTGGTCACAGACCGGGCCGCGGGGGCGTTGACCCCCGGAACTCTCTCCAGGTAAACTCCAGGTAATACACAAATACAGTTACATAGATTATCATACACAGCCGCCTGAGACTTTACTCTGTTTACTACTACTCTTTGTGTTTTATTTGTCAGGAAATTATAGATCCATCGACCGACTTTTCCTGTTATTCCTTTAGCGCGCATTTTGTGCACTATTACGCCATGGTCACACTTGTCGAAGGCTTTTGCAAAGTCTGTATATATTACATCTGCATTCTTTTTGTCTTCTAGTGCATTTAGGACCTTGTCGTAGTGTCCAATAGTTGAGACAGACAGGAGCGACCTGTTCTAAACCCATGTTGCCCTGGGTTGTGTAACTGATGGGTTTCTAGATGGGTGGTGATCTTGCTTCTTAGGACCCTTTCAAAGATTTTTATGATATGGGATGTTAGTGCTATTGTCTGTAGTTCTTTGCTGTTGCTTTACTGCCCCCTTTGTGGAGTGGGGCTATGTCTGTTGTTTTTAGTAACTGTGGGACGACCCCCGTGTCCATGCTCCCTCTCCATAGGATGGAAAAGGCTCGTGATAGGGGCTTCTTGCAGTTCTTGATGAACACAGAGTTCCATGAGTCTGGCCCTGGGGCAGAGTGCATGGGCATGTCATTTATCGCCTGTTCGAAGTCATTTAGCGTCAGGATAACATCGGATAGGCTTGTGTTAATCAAATTTTGTGGCTCTCTCATAAAAAATTAATTTTGAACTTCGACTCTCAGTCTGGTTAGCGGCTTGCTAAAAACTGAGTCATATTGGGACTTGAGTAGCTCACTCATTTCCTTGCTGTCATCTGTGTAGGACCCATCTTGTTTAAGTAGGGGCCCAATACTGGACGTTGTTCTCGACTTTGATTTGGCATAGGAGAAGAAATGCTTTGGGCTTCTTGCAATTTCACTTATGGCTTTAGTTCTCGCGTTTCTTGACTCCTGTAAGATTCCTTTAGGTTTAGTTCGATGTTTGCTATTTCTCTGACCAGTGACTCCCTACGTATTGCAGATATATTAGTCTCTTTTAGCCGCTCTGTTATTCTTTGCCTTCAACTGTAAAGGGAGCGCCTGTCTCTTTCTAGTTTACATCTCCTCCTTTTTTCTTAAACTAATATACCTTGAGCATACCTCAAGTGCCACCGAGTTAATCTGTTCTAGGCATAAGTTGGGGTCTGTGTTGCTTAGTATATCTTCCCAGCTTATATCAGTTAGGACTTGGTTTACTTGGTCCCACTTTATGTTTTTGTTATTGAAGTTGAATTTGGTGAAGGCTCCCTCGTGAGTTAGTTAGTTAGTTTAATATCTTTATTATGCACCCCATACCCATCCTGTGGGTGGTAGTCAAAAGATTACAAAGGTACATAATGGGTCTAGGGACTGGACCCCAAAGTTATGATAGCTGAACTAGTTACAAAGGTAATGAACTCCTAGTAGATCTGGTCACAATCATGGCAAGTTACAAAGGTAAGGAATCAGCCTCACTCCTATACATGGTTACAATCATGAATAAATTTCGTGACAGTCTCATTATGTCGGTCTGGGGCTCCACGCATACATGTCTGAACCTCAATTATGTTGTGATCTGAGTATATTGTTTTTGATATGGTGACATTTCGTATCAGATCATCATTGTTAGTGAAGATGAGGTCTAGTGTATTCTCCAGTCTAGTAGGCTCTATTATTTGCTGGTTTAAATTGAATTTTGTGCAGAGATTTAAAAGCTCGTGTGAGTGTGAGTTTTCATCAGAGCTGCCTCCTGGTGTTATTACTGCAACAATATTATTTGCTATATTCCTCCATTTTAGGTGCCTTAAGTTGAAATCCCCCAGGAGCAAGATGTTGGGTGCAGGAGCTGGAAGATTTTCCAGACAGTGGTCAATTTTTAACAGCTGTTCCTGGAATTGCTGGGATGTTGCATCCGGAGGCTTGTAGACTACCACAATGACTAGGTTTTGGTTCTCGATCTTTACTGCTAAAACTTCAACTACATCATATGAGGCATTTAGTAGTTCTGAGCATGTAAGTGACTGTGATTTACAGGCCAACCCGCCTTTTGCCTGTTCACTCTGTCACATCTGTATAGGTTGTAACCCGGGATCCATATTTCGTTATCCAAGTGATCCTTTATGTGGGTCTCTGTGAAAGCCACGAACATTGCCTTTGCCTCTGCTAGCAGTCCACGGATGAAAGGTATTTTGTTGTTTGTTGCTGGCTTTAGACCCTGTATATTTGCAAAGATAAATGTCGTCAGATTGGTGGTATTGGTAGTACAGGAGATGGGGTCTTTGTTTCTTCCTGGCACTAATATCTGTTGTGTTGGAGTGGACGTCATTAACTGTGATTCCACTCCAGAAATGATTGGAGTTGGTGTACGATTTCTGTCATTTCCTGCCAGATTTTTTTTCTCTCCTGGCGCTAGAAAACCTCTCTCTCTGGAGTGGTTGTGGCTACCCAGGTTGTCTCACGGTCTGGATGTTCTGTGTCCTCTTGTAGCCTTTAGGTGGTGTGCCTGGCAATATAAGTTATATCACTGGCTTTCCTGAACTGAAGACTGACACATTTCAGGGTGGAAAAGCTTACAGGAAGGAAGGCTGCATTTTCCTGTTGTCATATGAGCACGGCATTTTGTGGGGTGGTCGAAGTTGCACGTCCCATCTGTTTTTCCAGATATTCCATGACTGCAAATACTAAGTGCACAGTATTTGCATAGACCTGGTTTCTGTTTACCTTGTTGTTTTGTGACTGTATTCCCTAATGGTGCGTGTTGTCCTGTCTCATTTCTAACTTCAGCACTAATGTTATCTGGTAATTTATCTCCATTGTTTCTCGGGGCATCCCCTTGTTTACAGTAATGTATAAAATTAAATGTGGCAGATAAGAAACTGTACAGTGTTTTTCCTATTATTCCTGCCTGCTCCAATAGCTCTTGGACTAGTCTCATCCGCAGTACAGTGTCAAAAGCCTTCTTATAGTCCAAGAAAATGCAGTCTACCCATCCCTCTCTCTCCTGTCTTACTGCTGTTACCTTGTCATACAACTCCAGTAGGTTTGTGATGCAGGATTTCCCGTTCCCGAAACTGTACTGGTTGTCGTGTATGAGCCCGTTACTTCCTAGGTGCTCCACCACTTTTCTAGGTGCTCCACCACATTTCTAGGTGATCCACCACTCATCTAGGTGCTCCACCACTCTTCTAGATGCTCCACCAGTCTTCTAGATGCTCCACCACTCTTCTAGGTCTCCACCAGCCTTCTAGGGGCTTCATCAGTCTTCTAAGATAAGATAAGATTTCGTTCGGATTTTTAACCCCGGAGGGTTAGCCACCCAGGATAACCCAAGAAAGTCAGTGCGTCATCGAGGACTGTCTAACTTATTTCCATTGGGGTCCTTAATCTTGTCCCCCAGGATGCGACCCACACCAGTCCAC